AAGGGAAAGGGAAAGGGAAAGGGGAAGGGAAAGGGGAAGGGAAAGGGGAAGGGGAAGGGGAAGGGGAAGGGGAAGGGGAAGGGGAGGGGGTAGGGGAAGGGAAAGGGAAAGGGAAAGGGAAAGGGAAAGGGAAAGGGAAAGGGGAAGGGGAAGGGAGGCAGGATCCTGCAGGATGCACACTGGCCACTGCACTTCTCCTGCCTGAGCTGCCCTCCCCTCATTCCCTCCCATCTCCTGTGGGGGTTACACCAGCACAGGTTTGTCATGAGCAAGGTGTCCCAACAGCTTCAGGCTTTGTTTTCCAAAATAACCCCCGATGCTGTTTCACAGCTAGAACACCTATCCAGCAAAAGCCTGACCTTTGCTGTCATTACCACATGCCCACTTTGCTGCAGAGACAAACTCTGTGCAAGGGCTGGGCAAGGACAGGTGCTGACTCCCTGTCACACAGAGGTGCAGCTCAGGCTGGACACTGCTCCAGCCAGGCTGCTTGAAATGCAGGAAGGACTCAGTGGCAGAGATGTGAAAACAACAGGAAAATCAAAGCCTGAGACTAAAGGAGCAATTAAACCAGCCTCAGAATATATTTGAGTCAAATCAATCCATACAAGAATTGCAGTCACGGTGTGCTGGTGCCCACACTTCTCTCTCCCTCCCTCCCTCCCTCCCTCTTCATTTCCCTCTCTCTCCCTCCCTCCCTCCCCTACCCAGGCTGACATCCAGCCTCACTGTCTGCTTCATCAGAATATGCACAAAGTGCAGTGACAACGCATCTCCTAAGATGCTTTATCAGTTTTTCAAAGTCCCAGTTCATCCTCCTCTTGTGGATCCATTTACATTTTGATGTTATTTATTCCCCTCTCTCCAGGCAGGCCCCATGAGATTCAAGTATTTTATTTACAAAGACATTGGGGTTGCAGCTCCTAACAATTAAGTCAGCCAAGATGGAACTTTGCTGGTGCTCATAGATTGATGTGTGAACAGAGAAATTGGCCTCGTCAGCGATTTGGGAGCAGCTTGGGGGGGACTGGCTCAATCCCATCTCTATAAACCACTCAATAGCTGCTGCAACTGGGAAAAATGAATTGGGGTGGTGGGAGGCACCAATGTGCAGAAAGGAGAGATAACAAGGCAACAGGAGGGATGAATAAAACCAGGAGGAGAAACTTTGCCAACAGGGCTCACCTCCAAAGGTTGGTGCTCCAGAATGGTTTGTACCCCCTGGGAACTCGCAGGCTCCTGGGAGCTGCCCCTGCTGCATCTCCCCCATCCAGGCCAGGCACACAAGGCTCCAGCGTGTGTTCCTGTTGGATCCTGTGCCTCCCACCAGGTGAAATACATCCATCAGAGCACCTCAGGCTCCTTAAACACCGGAGCTGAAAAGTCACCTGCCTATTCAGGCCTGTATAAATCTGGTACACTATTGCCTCTCCCTGACAGCAACTTCATCCAGCGCCAGCATTCTTCCCAGCATCTCTGACATTTCAGAATTATATTTAGAGACCTGGATGGGAATTTAATTTTGAAGTTTTCCATGGCACCCTGTCATATAAATATTCCGCAGTGTCTGCCGTCGGGGGTGTCGGAGCGGAGCGAGCCCGTGCCGCTGCCTCTAATTAA